AATCAAGTGGCAGAGTGATAAAGGAGGAAAGAGCTTTGTTAGCAATAAGCTAGTGTTGGCTGGTGTTGTCAGAAGGTGGTTAGCTCTCGTGGCCTTCTTATCTCTTGCCCTATGGGAGAATTTTTTCTATGATTTTTCAAGTGGATGTACGTGGACCCCAGACAAGTAGGTGTCTCAGTTGTCCATTGTTTTGAAAAGTAGCCTCTTTTGGACTATGCACATCTAATTTTGTTCACTCAGGCCAGCAAGAGTCGCAGTCCTATGGATCTAAGACATAAATGTCAAGGTTTCTGTATTGATTACAGTGGCTTTTGTGGTTTTTGTTGTGGTCACTGTTTCTGGAAAGCACCCTTCCAGGTGTGACCTTCTCCTGTAACTTGGAACTAGAGTTTTATGCATTCCTTTAGCTAATTTTACTATGCAGTTAATCTATAAAAGAGCAGATAGGTGCAAAGAGAAACTTCCGAGAATTGGGTTTTGATGGGAAGGGGAGTTTATGTGTACTTTCAGAATCAAATCATAATTTCATCTGAAAGTACTATGTAATCATTTTAATCTTACTTTCAACCCCTTTCTAAATTCAAGATAATTCTGAAATTTTTTATATTGATTGTTGAGTTTAAAGGCAGCGGTCTATATTCTCACTTCAATGAATACATTAAAACAGAGTTAATCAGTAGCTCTTAGGGGTTCAAGATCATGTTCAACATAGAATCGGCCTCCCCCCCACTGCAAATGTGCAAGAATTTATTCTGTGTTTTGAACAATGTAGTTGAGAGTTATTATGAATTTCTCCCCCAATGAGGTACAAATTGCTGAAGCTCTGTTCTGCCTCAGAGGATCTGTGGCCAGAGCAGAGATGCAGCAAGAGCTCCTGGTTTACACCCATTTTTAAACTTAAGTTTTTCTACTTACCCCAGCCCTGTTTTTACTTCCGGATATGTTGAAGGTAGGCATTTTGTTCTTACAATCAAACAAAAACTACTTAGCTAATGTTCCTTGTCATTAGGTACATTATTTACTGGGGGGGGGGGGAAGCAGAAGTATTTTTCTAAGATAATCTCAAAGTTTTCTTTCAGCTTTAAAAATCCTTCTTATGAATTATAATTTTATTTAGTTTTACTCATTATCACTCGTATCTTTACTTACTTGTACTTTTCTTCATCATCTTTTTTTTTTTTTAATCTACTTAGGGGTACTGTGTGTGAGTTACTCTACCAATATTTGCATTCGAAGGTATTTAAGAAGCAAATTATCCACTAATCAACATTACTGGCAATATCAAAGACCCCTAGAGTTTTAAAATAATCTCTTATTTTTATTAGATATTTATTATTATAGGGATATATAAAGGACCCCAATGTGAATGTTAGACTTACTTTTTTATGTTTAAATGAAACCTAGCCTGTATGAGGCTGAGGGGTCCAGCATGCCTTTTATCCCATTTGCTCCAGACCTGTTGGCCTTTTCTTTCATGGAACAGGAGAAGCTTTTCCAGGTTCAAGGATTTTCCCTTTATTGTTCCCTTTGGGAGGTGAGGAAGGAAATCCTCCTTACTTCTCTCCCTTTGTATCCTTCATATCTTTGCCTTAAATATTAACTTGTTGGACGTACTCAGAGAACCATCCCTCTTTAAATTGATTCTTGCCTGTTATTTTCTTAACATTATACTTTTTCTTCCAAAAATTTTATTGTAATTTGCTGGGCATGGTGGTGACATCTGTAACTCCAGCAATTCAGGAGGCTGAGGCAGGAGGCTCCCAAGTTTGAGGCCAGCCTCAGCAATTTAGCAAGGTCCTAAGTAACTTAGACCCTGTCTCAAAAAAAAAAAAAAAAGAAAAGAAAAAGAAAAAGAAAAAAAAATTAAGGGACTGGGGATGTTGCTCAGTGGTAAAGCATCCCCGGGCTCAATCCCCCCCTGTACACACACACACACACACACACACACACACACACACACACACAGAGATTTATTGTAATTTATGTATGTTCAATATGTTTAGACTTCACCAGTGTCCATGGGACGACTAGCACAGTGCCTTACACAGGGAAGTCTCTGTTGAATAAACAAATAGTGTTGGGGGGAGCAACAGAACTTTATTCTGGAAACTTCCCAGATCAAGTCAGACAATATTATTACTAAGGCAGTTTCTAGCCTTAATAAGAAGGTAGTGCCATGAACCTAGCACTATAGTGAAATAAGGAAGCTAAGTCTTAAGAGAACAAAGTAAGAGAGAAAACATGAGTAGAAAATCTTGCATACACATATCATGGGCAAAACCTAGGTTCAATGCTAGCTGATAGAAAGCCATAGTACTTTTCCTTACCCATTTCAAGGGCCATACCCAATACTCCTGTAACAAAATACAGGTTAACAAGAAAAAAATGTCACATTTAATCAAAGTTTCAAGTGACATGGAAGCCTTCAGATTGAAGACCCTCAAACACCAAGAAGTCTCCCTATTTTTATATTTAATTTTGTTGAGGAATGGACAGCCATGTAGAAATGTAATTGGACAAAACAGTATGTCCAATGGTAAAGAATGAGGGAACCAGGCAGGGCTGGTCTGTTCAGATATTTCTTGTCCTATGTAGCACTCTTTTTACCTTTGTCTCCTCACACAACCCTTTGGAATGAAGATCTTCAAGGGAAAGGAGAAGGGAGAGAGTGACCTTCCTAGGTTTTATGACTTGCTTTGGGGGAGAGGCATTCTAGTAGCTATTATACCCCAGGGAAGAGGAATTCTGAGTTTTATGACTTGTTTTCAGGGAAAAAAAGGAGTGGAAGACTGGAAGACAGGAGGGCAGAGAGACCTTGCTTCTGAGGTTCTTTCAATCTCCTTTAATCCAAATCACTCAGCAAGCCAAAGCACCATACTTTGGGGTATCATATTCTGAGCCTCAACAATGCTATCTCCCTTTTATAGTTCATCCAGGCCTTGTTAGGGGTCAATAAAACCAGGTGGGTGGTATGATGAATAATGGTAGTGCCTGCCCAGATCCCTTTTAGCACCCATGCTTCCCCCACTTGTGTTGCAGCAGAGAGCAGGAAGTGACTGTGAATTAAATTCTTGACCCCTATTCAATAACCAAGGGGTTGGGAGTATGAAAGCTCCAGACTCCTTGAATCAGAATTCCCTAACTTATTCAAGCTGGAGCCATCCTTGGCTAGCTGTAATTGTAGTTGGACAAAACAGTGTAGTCTAATGGTAAAGACTGAGGAGGGAAACTTGGCTTCCTCCTCTTGCTTGCCCCTGCTCTCCCTCTTCCTGGGAAACTGCCTTAATAAATCATAAGCATTCGAATCCTCAAAAACATCTTAGGGTCTATTTCTTTTATTTTTTATTTTTGCAGTGCTGGGGATTGAACCCAAGGCATCACATATAACTTAGGGTCTATTTTCTAGACAGCTTGTCTTAGACCATAGGGCAGAAGTTCTTGAGGGGTTTTTCTCCTTGATTATAAACACATATTGACTACCTTCATGTTAGATAATCTAGAGCAGCAGTTTTTTTTGAGAGAGAATTTTTTAATATATTTTTTTAAGTTTTCGGTGGATACACGTCACACATCTTTATTTTTATGTGGTGCTGAGGATTGAACCCAGCGCCCCTGCACATGCCTGGCGAGCGTGCTACTGCTTGAGCCACATCCCCAGCCGCAACAGAGTTTTAAGCACAAGCAAAACAGGCATGAAACTGTACGAGAATGTCTGTGAAAATCTAGATCTCTGCTAGCTTTCATACACACAATTTTTTAGTTGTAGATGGACATGATACCTTTATTGTTTTTGTTTTTTTATGTGGTGCTGGGGATTGAACCCAGTGCCTCACATATGCTAGGCAAGCACTCTACCATTGAGCCACAACCCCAGCTTCCATACACACGCTTTATTTGCTTTCTAATTCTATGTGAAATCAGTTTCCAATTAAATTTTCTTCTAAAGGTATGTCTGGTTCATTTTTTTTTTCTTCTTTCCTGGCTAATATAAGGGAGAGAAGGTAATGAAAGAGGAAGCCAATACAAGGAGCAACAGCATTTTTTCTTCCTCTCTCTGCCTTCTAGTATCTTTTTTTGGCTGATTTTTAACGAGGAGCAGTAGAAAAGAAATGTGGTTTGTAAAGTCCCAGTCCCAGCGTCTCGTGAATATTGAAGGATATGTTTGGAACTGTCAGAGAATAACTGAATATCTGGTACATATTTATAACAAAATTTTATTCATTCTATGTGAAATTTTGTTTTTATACTTCTAGTTAATAGTAGTTCTGAAGGCACTTTTATACAATTGTTTTTCTAGATCATATGAGAAAATGATAAAAGTAATTTAAAATATCAAATCTAACCAACATCCATGAAGGATTATCACTTGAGGCTGAGAGATTTATGATATATTGAGTGTCTCTTAAGTGTAGGAAATGGATTAAGTACAAGGATGAAATGAGATACTGCCTCTGTTCTCAATGGAAAACAAATGACTATTTGTATGACTTTCTAGTAAACTGTGGACATTATCACACATTTCTGTGGCACTTACTAGTTATTAAATATAAGTCAATTCCTTATTCTGTTAAAGAGAAATACCTCAGGGAAGATTTATTACTGTCACTTTCTTCTATCATGAAAATGACTGTTCGAATTTCATCCAATGGCATAAACTGTTAACAGAATATTTTATCAACAACCTATTTATGAGCTAATTTTAAAATCAAATTATCCACAACACATGAACTAACTTAGTTTTAAAAACATAAGTGTTTGATGAAAGTCAGTAACCACGTTTAAAAATATATTCTGAAACAGATTGATTCATTATCACAAGGTGAATTGTCCTTTCTATTTAAAACTAAGAGATTTGTGCTTTAGTTTGTATTATTTCCCATCTTTATTATCTTTTCCTGGTTTTTAAAAAAAAAATCACAACCCCTTAAGGAAGCTGAGAAATATACAAGCTTGGGTTTTCTGAATATTAAAATTAGCTAGAAAGTAGAATCTCAAGTCACTTTCACTTGCATATATATTTTTATTTAGAATGCAGCATTAATAGCATGATGAGACCTTCACAAATCTGTACCAAGAAGCACATAATGTTTACAATGTGGTGTTTTTCACAAGTAATTTAAGTATAACTATAACATCATTATTATTTGGTACTAAAGTCAAAGACGACATTTAGATTCCTCAGTTTTGGGGCATTTAATGAAATCAAAATGATTGTCTAGTCATGCGGAGGAAAGAAATTCAAAAGCAGCTTCTTTTTCTTCTGTCAGTTCCTTTGCAGTAAGATCCATCTTCTCACGTGAGAAATCATTAATAGGGAGACCTTCAACAAATTTCCAGGTCTTATTCTGTTTGAAAATAATTTTAAATAAGAGATTAACAAACTAGAATTGATCTTCCAGCAAGCAAAAACCTAGTCTGAATTTATACCTGGAGGTGTACTTGTTTTAAAATTTGATTCCAAAGAAATAAAACAGAATCCAAACTTTTTTTTCTTTTTGTAGTGCTGTGATCAAATCCAAGCTAAGTGCTCTATCTCTGAGCTAAACCCCCAGCCCAGAATCCAAATCTTAAAATTAGCAGATCATTTTGATAAAAAGTTAACACTTGAATTTAAAACTATTTAATCTCAAAAAATTATAAAATTAACTATTGACTTTACCATGGTTATAATAAAGAGCAACAATACTGAAAACCATTGCTTCATTTAGAAATAACATAAGATTTATAGGTAGCTGATATTAGGTGTGATAATATAATTCACTTGGTGGTAAAAGTTGACTCTTGCTGTTCAAATTAATTTCAATCTTTTAATGCCCTGAAGTTGTCATACATATAATACTCAAGTTGAGGAGAAAAAAATCTTGGTTATTAAAGGAATAACTTTCTAGGCCAAATTATACCTATTTTAAGAAAAACATATAACTACTTTCCCATTGAAGGGAAATAACTCCCAAAGACCCTACCTTGATTACAACAGGGAATGAGTAGAGCAGATCATCAGGAATACCATAGGAGTTGCCATCCGAGATAACACCCATGGACACAAATTCTCCCTAAAAAAAAAAAACCCCACAAAAAACAATGTTTTCTATTTTCATGGCACACTAGGATTAGTCTACACAAACAACATGTGAACTAACAAAATTAAACCAGGTGACTTTCTTACTATGTTCCTGACTTCATTACTATATAAGGAATCAGAACCAGGTTCTTCCATGACAAGAGAACTTTCATGGATATTATCTCATTCCACTCTTCCAAATTATGTGTCAAGTAGGTCAGAAAAACATATCCTTATTTTATAGATGAGGGAGCTATTGTTCAATATTTAAGAAAAATGTTTTTCTATATATTATCATGTTTAAGCCTTATAATTCTGTGAGGAAATGACATGTAACAGTCGATAAAACAGCTCAGAAAGGTTAAATTATTTTCCCAAGGTTAGTCTGTTAGAAGGCAGCTGAGATGGGAAATGAACCTAACCAGCTTGACCACTAAGGCTCTGTTCCTTTTATATTACAATATCAGGGATTAAAAAAAAAAAAATATATATATATATATATATGAAAAAAACATGTATTTTTATACACACACACACACACACACACACAACAGTATCACTGAGTCTTCACCTCTGGGGTTCCAAACCAGATGTCTCTGATGTGGTCAGAGATGGCTTTTGCAGCAGACATTGCACTGGACAGTTTCCGAGCCTTGATGACAGCAGCACCACGCTGTTGCACAGTCTGTGCAGGGGCAGGCAGATGTGACAGTGTTACTTGATCATAATAGCAAAATATTCATCAGTTTCAAGTTAATCTAAGGCTGCAACCATTGCATAATGTGTTCTCTCCAACATCATGCAACTGCCTAATGTTGACCTTATAAACCTAATTTGGTATAAACACCAATATTTCTGAAAAAAGGAAAGTACAAATTCCCCTAGAATGTTTACCACATTTTATACACACATGACTAGAGAGTACTCTAGTTTTTCCCATTTTAACAATCAATCTCAACTGCTGTATAACATATCAAATCAGACTGGATCATGGCTTTGTAGGATCCCAGAAGAAAGTATGCAGTCCTAAGAACAACTGTGAAAGACCTGCTCTCCTTAGGGATTCCCTTTCCTTTTCTTGGAGACACAAAGGACGGCAATGTGGTGTGTTTCTCAAGAGTTCTTTATGCTTGGCTGTTAAGAGGACTCTCAGATTTTTCTTACCGTAATAAATTCTCCCTTGAGCCAACTGTCATTTTTCAGAGCTTCATAAACACCAACTTCCTTTCCTTGCAATTTCACCTTAGCATGATTGACATCTGGATACTGAGTTGAGGAATGGTTTCCCCAGATAATGACATTCTTTACATCATCAGCAGTTACACCAAGTTTAAGAGCAATCTAGTTGAATTAAAAACAAACAAACAATCAAAACAACAACAACAACAAAAAACACACCATTTAACAGCTCAGAAAGGTTAGAAAAATTATTTTTAGTTAAAATTGTGGCCTGTTTGACAAAAGTCAAGATAAAAAGTTTCTGAAACTTCAGGAGAGCACAAGAATTATATTGATTTGTAAAAAAAATGTAACTTGAGATACATTTTACTAAATCCCCTTAAATGGCAGCTTCAACTCTTCAATGTCAGCTTCAACAGCCCCTAAGCTTCTCCTCCCTATAGGCCTCCTTGGCTCCTTTTAACTTAAAGCTAACCAGCAAAGGTCAGGTACTATGCACTCAGTGGGTGTTGTTTCTGAATGTCATTCATACCAGAGTTAGTCTAAATTAACATCTCCCCCAGGACAATAGCTCCTGGCTTCCTTAGACACTTGCGTTTGTCATATAGGTCTGTTATCTCCAGACCTAGTAATTTCCTTCCCCCTAATCCCAGCCAACTGGTATCACTGTCAAATTACCTTGTCAGCAGACACATACAGCTCTAGTTTGCAAGTATACAGGGGAGTCCTGCAGGTGAGAAATAGTCACCAGATAGCAAAGCCTTCTGAGTTTCAAAACAAATTACGTAAGACTAGTAACCATTCATGTTAGAAAAAAAAAATTTTTGGGTTTGCTCATTGGATATAACTTCTATTAGAGGAAGAAACTGCTTCTTTAAAAACTTCTTAAGAGCTCCCTCCCCCTGTCTGTGGATAACAATCAATGTGTGCCAAAAGTGATGGTTAAAGTTTGATGAGACAGCTTCTTCCCACTTGGCTTATTCATGACTTTTGCCCCCACAAGTAAAACTGTTCAGCAGCTGGGACAAAGTCTCACTCAGTAATATCCCTGGAAGCAGAATTTTCCAGTATCTGTTCCTACTGAGGCCTCAGATGAAACAGCAAAGAAGGGGATTACCAGTGTCATTATTTTACCTCTTTCCTTTCTGTAGAAACTATGTAACCACCTGGCAATCTGGAGTGTACAACTACAATACATCCTTTCCTTTATTACTTCATAGTACTTAAGACCCCTACAACTAGTCATTCACACAAATTATCATTTCTTTTCAGTCACCAGACCTTGCTAACAGCTTAAGGCCTCTCATGGAATATTTGTATTTCAAGTTTGCTATCCAATGACCTCCTTAATTAACTAGAATGTTGAGGGAGCTATTTCCAAGATGAGGCTCTTTTCAACTTTAGGCTGTAACCCTTTTAATAATAAAACCAAAATAAATAATAATAGCAGTTAACCTTTACTACATTTGACTCTGTGACATGTACCATGTTAAAGGCTTAAAATGGATCTTTTCTCATCCAATCCTCATAACAATTCTCTGAGGTAGATATAATTATTATTTTATAGCTTAAATATTCATTCTCAAGGTCACAGAGCTAGTAAGTCATGTGATATCATTATGTAATAACATACAAGGGTTTGGTTTAGAGTCAGGCAAATCTAGGATACTCTATCATTTACTAGCTGTATGAGTAGGTTTTCTGATCTCTCTGGGCCTCCAATCTTTTACCTGTAAAATAAGGATAATAATAGATAGTTCTGTGGTACTATAAGAAACAATGAAAAATTAAATGCAGAGCATTCAGCTTGTAATAGAAACTTTACGAATGTAAATTCTTTTCTTTTCCACTGAGCATTCCAGAGCTGGAAGATAACTGTCAGTTTAAGACAGTGGTTTTTCAACTCTGATCTCACATCATTTTCTGGTTAATAAATCAGTTTGCTTAAAACAAAATAAAGTTTTCATCTATAAAGAAAAAGCACTACATTCATAGATCTAACTAGCAATGATGGATGAAGAAGGATGGCCAGAAAAGTGATAAGAAAAAGGACAGAGGCTATATCTGAGAACTAAAACTTTTATCATGACTTCCAAGGGCACCAGGACCAGTTAGATCTGAGGAAGCTGAGAAAACTAGCTTGGATGAGTGGCCTAGCTCTGAATTTTTTGAAGCTTTGTTAATCTCCTGGTCACTCACTCCTTGGCAAATTTATTTAAGGTGCTAATGAGTAAGAAAAATTAATAATAATTAAAATCTAGCTCCTATGTAGTAAAAGCAGGAAATTTTATGGAAAGACACAGACACACAATATTTAAAAGATATAAAAGTGAAAACTAAATTAAATATAAAATTAAAATCAAAATTTGGCTGGGTGTGGTAGCCTATGTCTGTAACTTGGGAGGTGGAGGCAGGAGGATCACAAGTTCAAGACCAGGCTCTGAAAATTGGTGAGACCCTGTCTCATAATAAAAATGAAAGAAAAAACGGCTGGGGATGTTGCTCAGTGGTAGAGCGCTCCTGGGTTCAATTCCCAGTACCTCAAACAAAAAACCCCCAAACAAGCAAAAAAGTGAATGTGATTGCTTAGCTCCAAGAAAGGAGAATCACACAACTACATAAAACTTGAGGGGCTGGGATTGGGGCTCAGTGGTAGAGCGCTCGTCTAGCGGGCTCGATCCTCATCACCACATAAAAATAAAGGTATTGTGTTGTGTCCATCTAAACCTAAAAAATAAATTAAAAAAAAAAAAGAAAAACCTTGCGTTTTTAAAATGATCTCTTATGTATCTGACAAAATTAAACTAAATTATGTATCATCATGGGGTAATTATTTATACTAGTAATTAATTTTTTAAAAAATATTTTAGTTGTAAATAGACCTTTAATTTATTTATTTATATGCAGTGCTGAGAATTGAACCCAAGGTCACACATGTGCTAGGCAAGCACTCTACCACTGAGCCACAACCCTAGTCCTAATAACTAATTTTTAACTACTACTTGAAACTATTTAAATGTAGTTAGCAACTGAAATAGTTTTTAAGAGAACAGGCTTCCTAACAAATTTAATAATAATTTAACTTTAATAACTACTAAACAACAACAACAACAAAAAAAAAACAACAAAAGTACAAACTAAGATTCAGTTATTTTAAAAATGAAAGAAAATGGTTTTCAATCTAAAATTCATAAATTTAAAAGACATTTTTCTCACTTGAGATTTAGCTCGATTGTGATCCAAACGAGTTAAGCAACTGAAGTTCTCCTTGGGGATGGATGGAGCTGACTTAGCGGCAGTCAGGCAATTGGTATTTGCTGGGTTTCCCACAACGATGACCTAGGATGACAGAGAAGAGTTATGGAATGTATACTTATTAAACTATCTTAGAATTCCACTGAAATGTGTTAACTGGTAGTTTGTATATCAAGCCCAAATGAACTAAATATACATAGTTATCATTGTAGTTTGTATCATCCCTTTGAAAGCGTTTTGACTTGTTAGTGTTTGGTGTGACTACTGAAAACATTTTTTTTTTTTTTAGAGCCACTGTTATGTATATAAGTCACTTTCTATTTGGCAATGTCCAAGACTTAAGGTGCATTTCTTTCTATTTTGTTTTTGTGTGAAAACAGACACAGAATTTATTTAACTTACTGTAAAAACTATGTAAAGTAAGACCCCATTTCAGAGTTTGATTCATTTATAACATTTTCCTTCTTTTTGAGTTTATTTTAAGAAAACAATTTGTCTCCATGAACTGAAAGTAATTATTCCCTAAATTTGCCCAAATTCTAAGAATTGCTTGGGCTATTTGCTAAAATACAGATTATCACCCTTTTCCCCCTCCTAGAGCTACTGAATCAGTCTTCAGGAGAAAATGCTTCAGGCTATTTTTTTTTATATTGGGGAGGTTTAGTCAACACTGAATTACAGCACAGGAAAATGTATATATGGATTTTTAGTGATAAGAATCTTACGCATAGGCCCTGGCTTCAGTCTTCGACACTACATAAAAATAAAGGAATAAAGATATTGTGTCCATCTACAACTAAAAAAAAAAGAAACTTTATTTTGAATTACAGAAAAGCTGCAAGCCTATTACAAGGATAGACTCCCATAACCCCTTTATTCAGATTCTCCAATTTGCTCCATCTTTAAGACTCTCTTTCCACACATAAACTGTAATCTTTTTTTGGTCCTTTTGAGAACAAGGTTCAGCTAAGATGCTCCATGGTCCCTAAGTACTCCAGTGCCAGTGAATATCTTCCCCAAACAAGGACACTTTGCAGAGATGGAATTGCCATGCAAATACCACAAATCCAAAGCAGCCTGAACAATCTTAATCTTTTACTAAGAGTACTAAGGATTCCTATCCAATTCATTTCTATTATTTTCTGTTAACCATTTAAAATAAAAATCTGTATCAAACAAAAATGCAGACATCTATGAAGTGAAACAGATAGGACATTTTATTTGCCATCTTGAAATTTTTTTTTTCTTTTTTGATATTAGGGATTGAACCCAAGAGTGCTTTACCACTGTGTGCTTATATCCTCAGACCATTTTATTATTTTTTAAAAAATTAATTTATTAAATTTTTTTTTTTAAGATATTGGTGGACCTTTATTTTATTCATTTATTTATATGTGGTGCTGAAAATTGAACCCAGTTCCTCACACATGCTAGGCAAGTGCTCTACCATTAAGCCACAACTTCAGCCAACACCTTTTTGTTAGGTCGGTGGCATCGACTTAGTGGCAACTTAGAACAAAGTAGCCCGCGCTGCCCTCAGCAGAACATCAATCAGATGTGCCTGTCAATCAGCCAGATCTCCCGACTAACGCCTATCAGCAGGACCCCCTGGCCAATCCTGGAGTTCAGCCAACTCCCCTGACCAACTCCAAGGGGGCAAGGGACCCTAGAGACACCTTTTCCTGTCCCAAGCCCTTCCCTTCTCGTCCAGTCCGGTCGAGCTTCCACTCGGTTTCTCCTCAGACCCTTCTCCTGTTCCCTCTGTGGGTCTGATCAAGTTCCGCCCGGGAGTGATATCTCAATAAAGCCTGTTCAGCGGCCCTTTTAAATCTGCCAACTTTGGTTGCTGCCTGCCCAGCCTGATCTGACACTTTTTATTTTTTTAGTTTGAGATAGGGTCTTACTAGGCTGCTGAGGCTGGCTTGGAACTTGTACTCCTCTTGTCTCAAAATTTTTCTTTTTGTTTAAATAAATTTTCTTATACCTTTTTGAAAAACCCAATGAAATACATGTTGGTTACTTTAACTCACCTTAACTGACTTCTTAGCATATTTCTCCAAGGCTGCACCCTGGCTTTTGAAGATTTTCACATTTGCTCTCAGTAAATCTTTCCTCTCCATGCCTTCCCTTCTTGGCATGGAGCCCACAAGAACAGCAACATCCAGGTCTTTGAAGGCAACCTCTTCTTCATCAGTTGCAATGACATCTGTGCACACGGCAAACAATAGGCTAAGCTACTTAAATATTCAAGTCTGAAATTTTCTTTTTCATACTAAATCTATTTATTCTGTCAAAGTGAAAACAAATAGCAATGTTTATTTATTCATATCACATTGATACAACTTGTAGGGGTCAAGAAAGACAACATATTAATATAATCACCTTAACATGGCAAAAATGTTAATAAATTTACTTTGCTTTTCCTATTTCCAATAATTAATTCAACTTTAAATCTTCTATACCTATTTTTTTTTAGTCACATATAAGGTATAACATAACTTCTGAAGCAACATTATTTGCAATTAACAGAGATAACAAAAGAGCAACTAATGCACTAACCTTTAAATTATAATTACCTCAAGATCTAGGATACGAATTACAAATTAAAAAAAGTTAATGTTAATCAAGGTGTATTGTGCTAGGAATAATGCTAGGAAATTTATATTATCAAAATTTAGTCTTCTCATTTTAGAGATGAAAACACTGAGCTTTAAAGAGACTAGTTAGCCACCATGATAAGATAGTGAGGAAGGCTATAATTCCCACATATGTCAGCCTAGACCATGCTACAGTGTCAGTTCAATAAACATACACAATTTGCTTTTTGATCGAAGAACATGTATCTTTCCTTTCCTTTGTTGATTGTATTAGAAAGGTCATGACTGAGATTTGGCATTTCCTTTGGTAAATTTTTAGGCCAGTGGACTGGTGTCAGTTGGACTGTAAGTCCCCGAATGGGCACATGCAGGAAGACAAGTTAGAAAAAATACCCAGCTTCCCCTTCCCAGCCACACATTCTCATTTGCAGAATGTTCCCTGTCATATTTATACCTTTCAGAGAACAAACTGGGCCCATTTCAGAGTAGAGGGAACTCAGCAGAGAAGGGAATGCAAATGGGAAACAGCAAAAGAAGAAGCTGATTTGAAAAAAATTGTAGGTAAGGAAAGGGAACCAGCAGAAAAACCCAATCATGTATTCTTTTACAGAATCACGCAACCAAACAATTTTGATGGTAGAGTATCTATTTTAGTATATGTCTACTGAAGAGATACATGAATATTAAGAAGTCTTCTTTTTAGGGATGTGTATATATTTTGTTTTGTGCAAACTTCTAGCTGAGCATCACTGATCTTTTTAAAAAATTTTTTTAGTTATACAATGTTTATTTTTATGCGGATTGAACCCAATGCCTCACATGTGCGAGGCAAGCGCTCTGCCAGTGAGCCACAACCCCAGCTCCAGTATCATTAATCTTTATGAAAAGAAAAAGACTATAATGGAGATATGGTTAAAGAAAAATATTTAAATTAGTTTATAATGAGACCTGATATTTTAACAAGCTTTTCAATCAGATTTAAGACTTCTGTCTTATGAGTAATAGTTCAATAATTCTCTAAGGTGAACTCCTGTGGGTTTTTACACACTGTGTAGTATATGATTAGGACAACTTATACTATGTCTCAACCTGACAATGGGCAGATGGAACAGGACCATATATGCGGGATCAACTAATTTTCAAGGCAGTGTATGGCTCTGGAGGATATCCTTCAGAATTAGTTTTCCATTAAGGAGGTGTGACTATTAGCATTTAAACAGACACTATATCACAACACAATGTAGATAATCTCAGGTATATGTAATTCTTGTGTGATATTATGCCTAATTAGTATAATAATAATAAATTATATAGACATGTTGAAGAAAAAGTAGCTTTTTACTTGACAAATTGTTTCTCACTTTTACCCTTATGTACTATTGTGTACATGTTAAAAAGTAGTTATAGCAGAGCTCATGGTGAGTTTCTGCCCATCATGCATGAGGCCCTGGCTTTGATCCCTAGTATCCTCCCCCTCCAAATCTATAGTTCAGAAAACAAAATGAAATACTTTCATGAAATAATTTCTAATTAAGTCTCTTCAGCAAAAATATAAAATCTATTTTTGTTAAGACATATAATACCCTTTTTCATTTCCTTTTGTGGAACTGGGGATTGAACACAGGGGCTCTACCACTGAGCTATAGCTCCAGTCCTTTAAAAATATTTTTCTTTTTAAAAAATTTGAGGGTCTTGCTAAATTGCCTAGACTGGCCCTGAACCTGTGGTTCTCCTGCCTCAGTCTTCTAAGTCTTCTGCGTAGCTGGGATTATGCAGGTTAAAGCTGAATTTCTAACTCACCTTTCAGGAGGGGAAGGGCACAGTCTTGCAGTTCCATTAGGACACCATTGAGAACACTCATCATGGGAGTGATATCCAGCAGCACAAGAATGATAGGCTGCCAAACAGCAAGGACAGCATTCGTCAGTGTAGGTTTTTATCATTTAGTCACAAAAAGCCCTTTCAAAGTTTTTGTTTGTGTGTGTATGTATAAAAGTTTTATTCATTAGCCATAGTAATTACATTAGGAGCTCAGGTTTCTAACATTACCACTTTGAGAATAAGAAAGGCCATAAAACCAGCAATTATTTGGTAACAGAAACAGCAAAAAGTAATCATCTATAATGAATTTTTAAAAAGTACATAAAAGGAGTCTCACAGCTTGCTCCTATTGTTAATAGTTGTATATTTGATTTCATGGTTACTAAGTACAATATCTGACATGAGGGAAGAGCTCAGTATCTGTGGGTGAGAAAAAATATTTTAGTGTATTAATCAGATTTGCTAGAATTAGGGTGTCTGCTTCCAATTTAGAAGCAGATTTTCTGTCTATTTTGGTTCAAAAGAAGACCATTTATGAACAAGGAAGTGCTGATTCAGCAACTTTCTCACAGCGCTCCAACTAAGCAGTTACTATCCTTAGTGATATCCTATATTGACTAGCACCTGCTGGTTGCACCAGGTTAACTAAATACAGTACAAAGGAAACTATTTTGCAAAGGAAACTGATTTGCAAACTATTTTCACTGTCTGCAGGGATGCCTATAAATACTTTACCAGCTTCAGTTTATAGCAATGCACCTTTTACATTTATTGGGACTATTCATTTCTTTACCATTTTATAATTTGTTTGCAACTAAATACAGGATTTTATTAACAACAGTCTTACTCTAATGCCAAGATTTATAGACATGCCCCTACCTGGTCTTTACCAAAGACAGATCCATTTCCAATACTGTACAACAGTGAATAAGCAATTTGACCAGCTGCTCCAGTCACAAGGACTCTAATTGGTTCGGACTGCAATGAAAAAGACCCATATAAGTTATAAGTCTCTTCACACAGGTTTAGTAGAAAATTAGCTTATTGGCTTGTTTCAGTAAATACAACACACACAAATCAACTGAGAAATTTCCAGAACATGTGTCTTTGGCTGGGTTGATGTGGTGTTACTTAACTCTCTCTGTATAGGGAACACAAAGTGTTAGCCTGTATTTACTTACATAATCCTATCCATTTTTTTTTTTTTGATATGTTACCACTAAAATAGGCCTAACAACGTCAGTGTGTGCAGTATGTATGTGGTGATACAAACCCTGGCTGGCAAGAGCCTTTCAAAACCTTATTATGCAAATCTCCCACTCCCATCTGCTTAGTAGAATTCTTCACACAAGGAAGAACAGAAACAGTGGTCAAAACTTTCCATTTACATTGAGTCAAAATATTTTAATAAGACATTTATGTTTCAACTTAATTAGATGTAGGAGGAAAAATAAGACTTTTTTTATTTAAGGAGAAAAAAAGAGAATATGATAGTATCTGGACTATAATAAATTTTAATACTAAACAGGAATAAGACAATGGCAACATGTGTTGATTGTTGATAACCTGATTCTAAAGGAAAAATTATATTTAAAAGGAAGGAAAGAGTAGGTATACATAGAGTACAACAGTTATGAGACAAGTAGCCTTATAGGTTTCAATAAAACCTGAATATAATAAGACACATGGACAAAAATAACTGATATTCATAAACCCAAAGTCATTAAAAAATAAAGGTAAATTATGTCCAGAGAATTAAAGAAGTAGAACCAAGGTGATTATTTTTTTTCCTGACAATGCTGGGTAAATCCACTTCTATTCCTTGTTACCCTGCATGGAGAAGTGGCTTATGGAATTGATTTACGGCAGAAGAAGCATTTGATTTCTTTTTATTTAAAATTCCAGATTAGTCACATGTCTGAGATGGAAAGAAGATGGATGATCTTGAAGGATCCTTAACCTTACTTAACTGTGAGATCTGAAGGTCAGCAGTGCTCAGTCACATGGTACCCACAGAAGCCAAAGGAAAAGTTCAGGAAAGTGTATACTCTTGAAGAGAAATAAAACTGATCATAGTAGACTATACAGAGAAATAACCAGACACAAGTAGGAAAAAAAGAGGAAGAGAGGAAGGCAGAAAGGGAGATAGAGAGAGAAGGAAAACACATTAAGGGTAAAGTAGAAAGATTTTCCCCTGTTTATCTGGGTCTTTTCCCTGACTTTTTTTTACTAACTTTCCCCCTGACTTTCATATCTCTAAATATACAAATAAAATAATCTCTTAAATAAATCATTTTGATACATATTTATATTCCAAAATAGATTTAATTTATAAAGGGCACTAAATATGATCATACATGGTTATTTTCTATTATATAACACAAATATGACACAAAATATTTTTTTGCTGATCTGTCATTACTAGGATAATAGTAATGACATTACTAGGATAAACAGTAAAGACTATTGCTATTTGCAGAAAAATTATTAAAAGCTTATATATATATTTTTTTCATTTTATCATTTTCCCCCTCTTCCTTCAAGTCAAGTAAAGTAGATGAAAAAAAGAAAGAGAAAGAAATAATTCCCTCCTGCCCCTTTATAATGCAAGTTTCTTAAAGCTGAGGGTTTGTCTATTTCATTTACATTGTCATTTTTTTTGTCTACTATATTTACTGTTATATCGTAACTAACTAGAATATCTGGCATGTAGTTGGAGCTCAAATATTTGTAAAATAACTACCAAAATGATGGAAATCTTGTAAACTACCAAAATGATGGAAATCTATAAGAATTAAGAATTATTTGGAAGCATATTGAACATGCTTTAAAAACATATTAATAGATATTTTATTCTCACATACTTGCTTTGAGAAGGCTAGAAACTTAAGGACCATAAGTTTCAGATATAGTGAGTGAAACTACTTAAGCCACTTGTTTTAATGTGTCTTATCAATCAAGTGAAAAACTTATTTAATTAATTCACTAAACAATACCATTGAATCCCTATCATGTACTTGCTACTATTGTAGGCAAGGGATCCATTAACAACCATCTGAATTTAGAAAGGGGATAAGCCAATTCTCTAAAACAGAAAGCTAGAAGCAGTAAAGAGTAGTAATTAAAAGATGGCCTCTGGAGCCAAACTTTCTGGGCTCAAGTCCTGGCTCCACAACTCATTAGCTGTATGCTCTTGTGCAAGTTACTTAACCTCTTTGGGCTTATAGGGCTCTGTCACCACAAAATTTTCCTCTAAGGATTCTTATAGTCTGTGGTCTTCTATTTACATATCTGCTACTAGACCTTGAAGCTCCCTTAAGAGCAGTATGTGTTTGACTCAAATTCGCACTCTAATATAATGTTCATCAAATATTTGTTGAAAGAATGAAAGTTAAGGGTAAAGAAAAATACAAATATATGCTACTTCAATGGAAAGCAAGTTGGGATAATAAAAAGTTCATCCTCCTAGAAAGTCAGGCAGATGGCAAAACAGAATAATGCGGCCAATTTTAGGAATTAATCACAGTCCTTACTAAAAGGGTTGTGGCCAACTAATGAACAGCTCATTTCAGAGCAGGAGTTTCCTTCTCTTTGGGCAAATTATTTTCACAGGTAGGCAACTTCACCTTGTTAACAGTAGTATGAAACCTATGTAGTCTAGATGTTTGATGATAACTGGGTAAAGAAAGCACATATTTGGTTCTTACTCTTCTTCTGCAACATTACAATTGACAAGTGGGAAGGTAGGAGAACCCACGCGGACTTCTCACACTGTTACAGAGTGAACATAGGTGGCTATTCTTTGCTCAGTTATCTGGGCAGTCTGCCAAGATCCATGAAGGAATGTCTTTGCTCTTGGCAGGGCACTAATAACCTTCTTGCAAACCAGGTTCTCTCTTGAAAATGTGCTAAAATCTCAGTTATGAAACTTGAATTTAAGTGTTTTTTTCTGTTATTTCATGGAAAAACCATGTATTCTTTTCTTTACTCCCTAGTATGCATGTATTTCTAATTTACATAGATTCTGTAATGTGAAAGAGAAGCAGTCCCATTCAGATTCCTTCAGTTATTCTTGCTGTTACTCCCTATTGACACAAACAAAGAATTTCCTCCTTTAAAATTTGCTTTGATGGGCTGGGGCTGTAGCTCAGTGACAGAGCACTTGCCTAGCATATGTAAGGCACTGGCTTAGATCCTTGGTACCATATAAAAATAAACAAATAAAATAAAGGCATTCTGTCCATCTACAACTACAAAAAAGCAATTTTGCTTTGAATTGGATTACAAAATATGGCTCTTTTCTAAATCAGTGATTGTTCACATGCTTTCCGAGTTGGTAAGTCATGTGAGACAACAAACTGACAGAATTCTTCCTCATGAACTATCTCTGGCACCCCAGTGACCTTCCAAGGGTGAGGCCTGGCTCAGTCTACTGTGCAACAAAAACAAAACAAGAATAGGGGCCTTGGATTTCTCTGTGACCTTGCAAAAGTCATTTGACCTCACCAGGCTACATTTTAAGATTAAATGAAAATAATCTTCAATTCCTTTCCAATTTTTGAATTCTAAGGAATAAAGCTATTAGGTCATCCACATGTTGGTAATACACTTGTGTTTATATTCACAATATGATTGTATCTTCATCTAGAATCTCAGTACTAAAAGTAAATTTTTAGAATGACTTGGTAAGTATATGACACAATAATGGTAAAAAGGAGAGACCCTTAATGCAAATTGTTGTGTGACCTTGACAAGTCATGTTCTCTCCGGGTCTCAATAAAATCAATTTAAATATATTAAGCGGGGATGTTTGTCAAGATGACCTTTAAAAGGCTTCATCCAGTTCTAAAGTGACAAAGTCCGGAAGTACTCTGATAATATAAGTACCTCTGCTTCCTTGCTAAAATAAAATAGAAACTACTGAAATCGTAACTTAAATGAGTAATAACGTCATATGACAAAATAATAAGGAAACACTTATTTGGAATTAGTACTGGTCCCCAATCACCTTAAAGAGATGGAAGGAGTAATGTGCCCTTGCCTGAAAACATGTATTTTCAGGTTCTGGGAAATTTCCAATTCACGCAAACATTTCCTCACACTCTCCACTCATTTTCATATTTTGAGATAAATGGGAAAAATATTTCCAAATATAAATACAAACACTGAAGCAACTTCCCTCCATCTGATGGCAAATGTCACCTTCAAACAGTGCGCAGATTATTCCTACGTCAGTTTCCTCGCCCCGCATCCCCCTTCAGCAGAGACAAGATATGCAGACCTAGGGTGCACGTTTTCAATGACAAGATGGTTACATTATATTACATTTATATGCAGTGCTTCTGAAATCCATAACAGAACAGTAAAGAATATTTGCACTAGTTATTTGGCTAGTGATGCAAACGAGCTCGGGCATTATAACGGCATCAATGACAGGTTTTAACATTTTGAGAAATTAGATATGGCGGCAACACGTCTCCTGAAAACGTAGATCTTAATCTGGAGCACCTGGTGAAATCCTGCCTTAACAGTCGAAGGCCTTTTGCTTTCAAGGGCTTTGTGATTGAAGCTCTTAAATACTTTGAGACGAGGTGGGGGGGGGGGAAGAGAGAGAGAGAGAGAGAGAGAGAGAGAGAGAGAGAGAGAGAGAGAGAGAGAGAGAGAGAGAGAGAGAATGAATATGAGATAGAGGGGGGGGGGAGAGAGAAGAGAGAGAGACGAGAGGGAGGGAGAAAAAGAGGTTAGGATTCAACTAACTCCTCCTTTCCATCAAACCCCATCGTCCTTATCAAGCTTTACATAATTCTTCAGAGAAAATCAGAACTTGAATTCCATCCCCTCGGCACGCAGCAGGATCAAGATAGCGCCTCTCCAAGGACAGTGATATCTCCAGAGCCTTTTGAAGAGGCCCCCAGGTGCACATCAACCCCTTCCCAATTACTGGAATACTGCGTCAATCCCCAGAATAAAAGTGAGGGCGTTACAAACGGCGCTAAAGACCGCGACTTGCATAGCTGCAAAAGTCCGTCACGCGCAAGAAACCCCATACAAGGGTGCAAAGGCTGGACACCAGCAGGAACCCGGGCCCACACTCACCATGATTGAAAACTGCGCGGACAATTCCTGCACCAGCAAAACGAGCTGCAAGGAAGTCAGGTCACCTCCACCGCGGAATCGACACAAGGAGGGCGTGCGGTGGCAGCCAGAAAAAGCTCGGCTGCGGCCGCGGCGTCTTCTGGGAAACGTAGTTCACGCTAACCCTGCTCTGGCCCAACCTCCGAAGCATTTCCTTAGTGTTGAACTACACTTCCCGAAACCAGAGGGTCTCTTCACGTCCTTCTCCTTGCGCTCTTAGCCGGTTGTAAAGTAGTCCCTGACGGGGAGCTTCTGATTGGAGGATGACTATGAGCGGAGGGTTTGAGCTCCAGGGGGAAAAGACGGCCTGTGGCACTCTACAATTGGCGGGAGGGAAGGCGTGTGTGACTGGAGGGAGGAGAGACAGACCCTTAGCGACAACACCCACACGTGCGCTACTGAGACCTTAGCCCCTATTGAGGCTAAACGTGGGCGGTACGTAAAGCCGGCTTGACCCGGAAACAAAACCTTTTAAAAATATTGTACACGCTCCCGAGGGGCGGGGGCATTGGAAGTGTCTGGAAGACCAGATAGCTTCTCAGGTTGCTAGGCGACGAAGCGGGAGTACCTGAACGAACTGTGGAAGCTACGGCTCCCATACCCCGAGACCTAGAGCGAACACCGCGTCCTCCCCTCCTCACTTTGCTGAGAGTTCTCTACCTTGGGTGGCGCCCGGTGACGAGGAGAGAGTTTGTGGGGACGCCCCCTCCCAGGCAACTTGGGACTGCACGTTTTCAGCACTCCGGAGTCAGGTGAGCCCTGGCCTCAAAGTGAGAAATTTTCTTTTTCCTTTAGCGCCCAGAATGCTGCTGTGCGCCATTCAGCATTGCTTTCTCTGGGGTGCAGCTACATCCAGAGGGTGCCCTGAAGCTCGCGGATGGAAATGCTACCGTATTCTGGAGTAAATAGAGTCTTAGAGTTTGCGCCCTATCTCCGCTATAAAACGTAGCTCTTCCAAAGTTAAATCAAAAATATTTACTGAGTCTTTGTGGGAGGTGAGCCCCTCTTCCCAGCAACTTGCATTCCACGGATCTTTCTTTGCCCTCCTTGAACGTTGACACTTTCACCCATCCTCTCTTTAGCAACTAGATGCACTTTACATCACTTTATCCCTTAAAATTATGCCAAATCTGCATATCTGAGGAAAGAGTGGCAGCTGAATGGGAGACACTAGTTGTCTCAGGCAGAATATCAGCTGTTAGAAAATTTAAGAGGTAGGTTTTTATTTAAAAGTAAAGCTGCCCATAAGACACCCAGGGCTGTCTGAAAGCTGTTTCATGTGAATATTGAAAGGAAGGTGTGCTGCTCTGCCATAGTATTCCCAACAAAATGAATAAAATATCTTTATTGGATAACATTGGTATAACTTCTGAGTTTTATCGCTGGTAAATGAGTGCCAAGTGATATCTTTCTATTTTTCTCTATTTCATTTTTGAAAGATTTACTATTCGGGGGAAAGAAATATAAAGCCGTGCTTTCCTAGGTGATCCTTCAATAGCATTTATCATATTTACATGTCTCCTCTTTGAATCACTTTATTCATTCAGTTTTCAGATGACATACTTTTCTGATTTTCCTCTTTTGTTACTGATTGCCCTTTCTCAGTCCTTCCAAGGTTTTTTTTTTTTAAAGCTCTGATCTCTTAAACAGGAGTGTCTGTTTTCTTCTGTCTACACATTTAATTCTTAAGTGAACTCATTCTTGAGTTGTATCACTTCAAATGCTACCTCTGTTTTAAAAATTCCCAAATTTGTTTCTAGTCTGGTATTTCAGGGGTATTTCTTAACTACTTATTATGTCCACTTGATTTTTCTAATAAGCATTATTTCCATTGTTTTACAGTATTTCCTACTGTGTACGGAAGTATAACCCTCTTTGAAAGAAATAACATGATTTGCCCCAGTTCTATGATGTTGGTTGTGGATGAGATTATCAGATTTCAAACTGTAGGGGAGAAATGACTGGTTAGATGAAGAACTTACTTTTTTGTAAGGGTTATTAGTCTGATTCAGTAGACTGAAATCTCCTGTTTTCAGGAAAAACTCGTCTGTTTTGAAATCTGTCTGCTTCCTTAAAGTTTCAGTTTGATTGTGGTTTAGAATAAGTGGGTTTGATCAGTTAGGGTCTAGTGAAGGAGCTCAGTCCAAAACATCACTTCCTCCCCCCTCCCCATAATTTTTGTTTAAAAAGGAGTGGAGAAAAATTCTCTAAACATATTCATTGCCATTACACACATTGAACTTTAGTCAAACTACCTGCTATTGCCTGAAAATATACTCTACTTTTCTGCCTCCATATTTTATGTGTGCTTTTTCCTCAACTGCAATCTTATCCTACATTTCTGCCTATTAAAATTCATTCCACCAGGAGCTTTTCAAATACTTTGACCTTTGTGAAGCCTTCATGGAAAAAAATTCAAGCATACACAAAATAAAGGTAATATAATTTTCTGAATCCAATGTACTGCTTCATTAATTATTACCATTTGCCTTCCTTTCTTCCTTTTATTTCTCTCTCTCTCTCTCTCTCTCTCTCTCTCTTTGGTGCTGGGAATTGAATGCAGGGCCAATCCTTGGGTGCATGCTAAGCATGAGCTTTACCACTGAGCTGCAACCTCCACCCTACGTTTTTTTGACAATCTTCCTTTTTCTTCCTCTTTCCCAACATTTTTAAGCATTCAGAAAAGCTATACAGTGAATACTCTTTATAGTAGTTTGAGTTATTGGAAAGTCATGATAAATTTTAAACTAGAACAGGTGGGATGGCCAACTACAGAAGAGAATAAAAAGGAAGTATGAATAAAAGAGATGATAAAGAGCAGCTGTGACTTCTAGGATGAGGAAGAAAGACTAGGATAGGGCCCCTCTTCAAAAAGTTCATGTCCATGTTTACATGATGTATAGAAGTGCCCTCTGTCTTTGAGGAGACTGGGGCCTGAGGCTACTGCTGGAGCTTGTCTTCTCAGCATGGCTTTGGGGTTCCTGTGCTGAATAATAATAGTAATGGAATTATAATGGAGTTCCAGAATTTGGAAGGAAAGTATCTCCCTGCTTCTTTTACCTGGCAGCATCACTCCATTGCCCTGGAGCTGGCCAAGGAGAAATGTTTGTAGGATGGCACAAAGCAGGGCAAAGAAAGGTAGATTTAGAACTAAGAGATAAATTGATAACCATATATATGCTCACCACCTATTCTATAGTTGTTAAGCATTTTGCTATATTTACTTCATTTGTCCATCTACATGAAGTCTTGTGGTTCCTTAGCCTGATTATCACTGTTTTAAATTTAAAAATGATTATTTGCAAAATTAATCTATGGTAGGAAAAAGTACTATCTGTAGTTCCCTCTGGGTGTGAGAGTTGCTTGGTGATTGACTGGATAGGGGTTTCATTTTCAGAGGTGATTGTGTTTGTCAAAATCTGCAAATGGTACACTTAAGATTCATGCATTTCATGTTACATAAATTTTATCTAACACCATAAAATGATTAAACCCTAGTTATATGTATATTAAAAGAGATTAGGCGGTGAAGTATATGTAAGTCTACAGCTTTCTTTGAAATGCATTAAACATATGATAGATTAATGGATGCACACTAATAGTTATATCCAAAAATGAAATATACATAAAGCAAATATAGTAAAATGGTGAAATACTAGATAATTATAAATTTTATAGAATCTAGTGGTTATTTACTTCACAGTATTTTTAACTTTTCTGTATCATGTATTAAACTAATAATTTCCTTGTGTAAAGGAATTATGTCTTGTACATCTATGTGCCTCATAGAACAAAATATGCTATCTCTCTGACAATAGGTACAAGCAAAAATGTCTTTAAAATTGTCATTGTGGAAGCTGGGAGACTAATCTTGCTTAATGAACCTAACCAGTTTCAAAATTATCTAGCTAAACAGAATTTTTGTAAATGCAAATTGTATTGGGGAAATTGGTGAAATACTGAGAATATCAGAAATTTCTCAGTTTGATATTAGAATAAAACATTATTCAGCCCTCTGTACCTGAGGGTTCTGTTTCTGTGGATTCACTCAATCATGGATCTTAAGTATTTGGAAAAAGAATTGAGTCTATAATGAACATGTACAGGCATTTTTTCCTTGTCATGAATCCTTTAACTAAACTGTAACAACTGTTTACATAGCATTTACATTGTGTTAGGTATTATAAGTAATCTAGAGATGATTAAGGTATAGAGGAGGATGTATGTATGTTATGTACAAGTACATTCCATTTTGTATAAGGGATATGAGCATTATAAGATTTTGGCACTGTGTGTGTATGTGTGTGTATGTGTTTGTGTGTGTGTATGTCTGTGTCTGTCTCCTGAAACTAATTCCATTCAGTCACTAAGAGACAGCTATATTTTCAGTTTTGCTGTAAATAGCTTATTATTAGCTTGTTTACCAAATTATTTAGCTAAGTGATCAAGCTTAAATTTTTAGGTAGAATTATGAAATATATTTACTGATTATTAGATTATGAAATATATACTTACTGAAATTATCTTTTTGTTCTAAGATGACAGGTTTATTGTATGCTTTTTTTTGCCTGAGGAATATATTTGGTTCCATCTAAATGGAACTGTTGGTAACTGTAGATGGGGTATATAATAGGCATAGAAAATGGGTGTGTTTCTCTTCCTACTTTCATGACTTTGCTGCTGGATTTAACATTTATGTTACAAAATACTTATTATGAAGGTAACAATTTGCAAATTAACTATCCTCTAAAGGTAAAAGAGTGTGTAAAGAATGATTCTCCATAGAATTCCTTATATTCCCCTGTTACTTTTTTAATTGAACATTTTAATATCTTAGCTCCCAAATTGAATTCTATAATACCCTCCCATATTTGGCTAAGTTTAATCTTAACTGTGGCACATGAAGAATTTCATTATTTATATGTTCAAGTTAATTTATAGTTTCTGGAAGTAAATCAGAATCAGATTTTCATGTCTTAATAGCTTTGATCTGTCATATGGTATCTTTGTTGGTCTGTTAATTTTATGTAAAAATGACTCAAAATTGGGAGGTGTTAAATTTCCAGACCCTCATAAATTTAATATTTCCTTGATGTAGGTTGTCATGTAATTTACAATTGTATTGTTTTATAGTTTGTATGTAATTATATGTAACATAATTATTCTATTCTATATGTATTTCATATATATATAAAATTCTGAAGTAGAATGAATAGCCTCCAAAATACATTTTATATATTATATATAATATATTCTACATTTGATATATATAATTTTAACATTTTAATCTTGAAGTAAAATGAATAATATCCTCATTTTATAGTTTAGGAAACTCAATTTCAAAGGTTGTGACTTGTCCAAGTCTTTAGCCATGTTTACAAAACTATGATCTTACACATAATTTTTTTGTTGTAAAACTCATACTCTCTCACACATTTTAACATCTAAAATGTGTCATGTTTATCTAGTCATAAAGGTAATTAACAATGTATAATAAATACTTACAACAAAACTCTTGTATCTCTCTTCAAAATGCATCTGATGGAATGTAAATGTCCTAGCAATTTGATATTTACCATCATCCATTCAAAAAATAGGTAAATAACTTTTTTTTGACAGTCAGAAGTTGAGGTTTATATATGTATGTATGCACATTAAACACAGTATATGTATATATAGCATATACATATATATTTTTAGGTTATTTTAATGCTTAAAGGTTTTTAATGATCACAGTATATTTTTTACAGAA